CCCCCTTGCTCTGCATCTGCCACAGCTGAAGCCTTCCCTGATTCCTCAAATGCAACCCACCTGTGGGTGGGTGTAGCCCACAAGAACTGGGCAGATCCCTGCTAGCACAGGTTAGTGGAGCTGTGTGTGGCCACCAAGGAGCAGCTCAATACACAACTAGGATTCTTCTGGCCTTTGTTAGGAAGATAAAGAACATCAATCCTTCATGGTGCTGCTTGGCTACTGCCTGAAGATGAGAGAAAGGTTTGGAGACTGCAATGCTGCTTCTGGAAGTTAATAAGGTAAGAGTGAAAGGAGACCTGAACTGCAGGGGTGTCAGTAGAAACCTCCTTGGGGCTGTGGGTGCTTGGCTTGCAAAGGGTGGGTGTGCTGTGGGTTGTCCCCTCCCTGCCTCAGACCAGTGGAGTGCTCCTGGGGCTTTGGAGGGACTAAAGCTACCAAATACAAACCCGGTGTCCCCAAGTGTACCTGAAAATGGGTGTGAGTAACTGCCAAGTACCAACCACTCCACTCCTGTGTGGGTCTGGGGTTGTTTTTTTTTCTAAAAAGCAACAAATCCAAAACAAAACAGACTCTTGTAGCTTGTGAAGTTATTGCCGGCTTTTCTCGTGCTGCTTGTTGTGACTGTTGTGGCTTCTCTACAGTGTGCTCAGTGGTGTGGGGATTTCTTACATTTGTAGTGTTGTGCTGGATGATAATTGAAAGAAACAGTAGGAATTACTGGAATTAAGACTAAGGTGGCTTGACTTGTGTGGCTGTGGCCTTCAGACAGCTTAAAGGTGCACATGAGAACTTTGTTCTGGTGGGGCTGTCTCCTGCTTGTGCCTCTCTCTGCACTGCTCCTGCCCTGCTCCCCCTGGCAGTGGGGAATCCCTCCAGTATCTTTAAGTCTGACTCTTTGTAAAATTGGGTTTGATTTGTTTGTTGGTATCTCTCCTTGGCCAGCGCGACCTGCAAGTTTCTTGCTCTTTCATGATGGTAGTTGAGAGCCCTGTGCAAGAAGAGACAAGCCATGGGGAGGAGAGGTTTGCTGAGCTTTGGAACAGCTGCAGGGAATCTGTGGCTCTGATGTGCCCTTCCTCTGGGGTCAGGCTGAAGAAAGGAGGGGGGAGGTTCAGCAGCAACATGGAGGTGGATGTGTTTCTGAAGGCTGAACCTTGCTCGCCTTGTTTCTCTGAAGTGATTCCTGTGCTGTTTTGGAAAAGTGCTTTGTGATGGTCCTGTGAGCTGGGGCATAGGATAAAATAGTGCATATATTCAAACACTGCAGTTATCCCCTCTGGAGTCCATATGTTGGCTGTAGCAGCACCAGGGTAGCTGCCTGTGTGGGGAGGAGTGGGACAAGCAACTCATGCTCTCCTGGGGGACTGTGATCCTTCCCAGTGAGCTGGTCTTAAAGGCCCTGCGATAAGTAATCTGATGAATTGCAACTGCGAAGAGAAATGTCTCGGAGGAGCATAATAGATAATAAGTGTCTAAATACTTGGGATTCTACTGGAATAAAAATAACGACTCTATTAATACACCTCATAGGTGTATTAAAATCTGCCAAACGTCGATAGTAGGGAGTGTTACTGTAACAATGTGAATCTGGTACAATATCCAGCAGCAGCCATGTAGGAGCTGAAATGCCCTCTCCTCCCGTGGTGGATGTCAAGGAGAACGGGGGCTGAATTCAGACACATCCCTCCCGATTGCTCCTTCCAGAAAAGAGGTGTCTGTGATCCCTCACACCGATCCCAGGGAAGGGAGGGCATCACTGATAGAGAAGTCTCTTGATCGTTTTCAAAAGCTCTTTGGGAAAGATGCTTTGTACCTCTTTTTTTTCCCCGTTACCCATCCTGGTGTATTTTTTGGGGGGGTATATCCTCTGTGTCTTGGTGCCGGGCTCATCTTTGAGGCAGTCGTTTGCCTTCCCTGGAAGGTGGCATTCCAGGAGTTTTAAAGGGAAAAAGGAGGTGGCAGGGAGGGATTTGGGGAGCGCAGCTCGGGTAGGGACAGGTCCCGGGCAGCTGGGGCTGTCCTGTCCCCGGGCAGGAGAACCCCGCCATCCCGGGGATGCGGATGATGGATCCCATTCCCCGTTACCCCCTTATGGCTCCGGGATCCCCCCTGAACCAGGGTGGGAGCCGGGACAGGCAGGGGAGGCTCAGAACCGGTGTGGGGGGGTCACACACCCGCCTGGGGCACAAGCGACGCGGCTTTGGCGACCGGTTGAGCCGGCAGCCCCCGTTCCCCGCCTCCTCCCCTCGGTTACAGC